GGTGCGGTGGTGCAACGTACGTGCCAGATGGCGGACACGAAGAAGGTGGCGAAGAAGGGCACGATCTGGCGCACGAACCCGACCGGCTTGGCCGGCGGCAGCGGGGCTCCGGCCTTGTCCGCCACCACGTTGGTGCGCGCCGGCAGCAACCGCACGTACACATCTGCCCGTGTGTGCGGCGGTGAATATGTGTCGTGTGTCGTGTGTCGTGTGTGTGCGGGGGAGAGCGCGTACACCGCTTGAGCCAGTTGGCGGACACGATGTTCCAGTTGGCGGCGAGGGTGGAGGGGTCCTGGGCCAGCTTGAAGGGAATCAGCCGGAGCATCAGGAGCCGATCCCTGCCCATCGCATACCCCGAATTCCACGCTTTGGTCAGCCACGGCGCACGCGCGCAATGAAGGAATGCAAGAAATGAAGGTGCGTACCAGAGGACGTGGCCGTTGGCGTCGCGGCCGTTGTAGCCGAGGCCCGAGAGCATGATCGCGCCCTCGCCCAGGAAGAACACCACGTAGTATTTGTCGAACCTGGTACCGACAAACAACAACCACCACCATCATCATTAGCATCATCATGGCCATGATGGTGTGTGTGTCTGTGTGTTGCACTTACCCGAGCTCGCTGGAGACCATGACATACAGCCATCGGTACCAAATCGACTTCTCTCTGTGTTGTGCACGACACGACACACACGACACACACGACACGACACGACACACGGGTGAGAAGGTGTTGAGGCGTGTTGGGTCAGCCGCCGGGCGGGCGTGCAGGAGGTCCTCGTACAGGAATTCGGGGCTGGTGGCAAAGGTCTCGGGGAACTTCTGGTGGAGGTAGAACAGCGGCACCGCCGCCAGGGCCATCCCCAGCCGCGCGACCCCCGCCTTCCACGACCCGCCCGGAATCCGTCCACCCTGTGTGCCGTGTCGTGTCGTGTTGCGTGTGCGTGTGTCGTGCGTGTCGTGCGTGTCGTGCGTTGTAAGTAACCGCACACATCAATCACATCATATCACACATCGGTATGTGCACCTTCTCCTTGGCGAACATGGAGCGGTCGGTGAACTCGGCGTACTCGCGGTACTCGGCGATCGGGCCGGTCAGGAAACCGGCGAAGAAGAAGACGTAGCTGTAGTAGTGCAGCAGCGACGGCAGCCCGCCCCGCACGGCCCGCTGCTCCTGGCTCGGCAGCAGCTCGCCGGCCGGCCGGCCGTGGCCGTCATAGTAGGCCCAGGCAAAAGATGAAATCTTGACTGTGAGGAGCATCTGGGGCGAGGTCCAATGCACGACCGGGCCGCCCAGGGCGGCGGATTGGTACATGCGTTGAAGATGGCCAGCGCTGATGTAGGCCAGGGCGAAGATGAAGACGGCGATGGGCATGAGGCGCTGGCGCGGGGCGAGGGCGCACAAGATGTAGGGCACGGTGGCGGAGATGACGAAGTGGAGCGCGTCGAGGCCGAAGTTGGCAAAGGCCAGGGCGAGGCCGGCGACGAGGGCGAGGAGGTGGCGGGCGCGGGTGGAGGGGAGCTGGCGGTGGAGCAGGGCCAGGGGGTAGACCAGCGCCAGGCAGGTGAGGTAGCGCACCATCTCGGGCTTGACACCCAGCCGGCGCGCGAGGAGCTCCTCGGTGACCCACCACCAGGAGAGCGGATCCAGCAGCGCCTCCATTTGTTGCTACTCTTTTGAGCCAACGATTAGATTTGTGTAGTGGCTCGTGAAATCGCGAAAT